CATCCACAAAGTTCCTTATGAGTCACCGAAGTCCCCAGACACACAGGGCCAAAACGACCGCACAGGAACAGGGTCACCGTGTGCAGCACGTCTGCGCTTTGTTTAAATGACAACTAATCACTCTATTGGGCCACTGCATGTCAGTTCTCCCTGTTTTAATGGCTTTATGACGTCTTCCGTTTAGAACRGGAACCGTGGCAGGTGGGAAGTGATCCGTGGCTCCGAAACCCACTCACGTGGAACCAGCTGCAGACAGTCAACTGCGTCTGTCGGGAAGTCGGAGAATTCACAGCCACTGAGAAGAGAATCAGGCCCTGCCAGGCCACGGAGCAGTGTCAAGACCTGCAGGACCGTGCATCACGGAACAGGAATGCAGCCTCACAGCGAAGAGCCAGGTGCAGCCTGCGGCCGCCCGCTCCTGCGGGCCTGGCTCAAGGCCTTGCACGGAGACCGGCCCAGTCCTCGTCTCCAGATGGCACACCTCCAGATGCCAACCGGGCTGGCGTTGAAGAGCAGTGATAACAGAAGGAAACAGTTTTGAAATGTTCTCATCTATAAGTTCTGCTGTAGAGCTGCCCTGGACCTCGGGGCTGACTTCAGGCGGGCTCACACGGTGGCCGAGATGTGGAGTCCACGCTGCTGTGTGGTTGTTGGAGCCCCTGCCAGCACTCACCCTTGCAGAGGGATGTGTTTGTCCACTAGATTCCTAGATCAACTTCAGGCATTTCCTACCTTAAAACAGACCGCACGAGGTCCACATGCAGTCCAGCAGGACGTCCTTCCTGAATGCATCCTCAGCATCCGGTGGTAGTCAGGAAATCCAGTCACAAATGGACAATCCGGGCCACTTATTACTTAGTAATTATAACCACAGGCTTCCTGAGCACCTTGTAGGTGCCAAGCCCTGGGCTGGGGGTTGATAGAAATTACTTCTACCATAGCAGCCATATGAGCTATCGCTACTGATCCACAGTCCCTGCCTCTCCCTGTTTAACCCTCCTGCCGCACTCCATGCTGTCACTCCCTGTGAGGCGGGAGCTGAGGAACTAGCTTTTCCTTCCTTCTCTCGGCCCTCATTCATCCAGTCTGAGCTCTGCCAAGTCCCAGCGGTGGCTTTCGTGGTCCCCGAGGAGCCACTGTCCACCCCACAGGGGCTGTCCTTGCAGGAAACCACTTGTTATGGGCCAGGGTTGTTCCCAGCCCTGGGGATGCAGAAGGTACACAAACTGCTGCCCTCACCAGGCTAACAGTCTCATGAGGGTGGTGATGACAAAATAAGCAGGCCGACTGCACAGTGTCAAACACCACGGAGACGGGGAAGGGGGAGGGAGGCCGAGTGCACCGTCATTTCTGAGTGGCCCATGACATCTGGGATGGGGCTTGGAGGCAGCGAGCCCTCCCAATTCCTGGGCAAGGACTTTGCAGGTGCTGGGTTTCTGAGAGGCCAGCAATGCAAGGGAGGTCAAAGGTGAGGCCACGGAGGCACTGACTGGGGAATGAGGGTGACTTTGGTTTTTGCTCCATGTTGAGGTGAGAGCCACTGACTGGACAGGTTTGAGCTGAAGAATAGAAAACAGGAATGAATATGACCCCCTCAGATGAACAGCTTCTGGGCTGAGGATGGACTGCCATAGGCCACCGAAGGCATCACCTGCACAGGMCCCTCCTGGTGGCTTGAACCAGGACTGCCAGGAGAAGCGGTGGGACATGGTTAAGGGACAGTGGACAGGATACGACAGCCCAGGAGAAAGGAGCCAAGAYTGACTTCAGGGTTTTGATGTGAGCAACTGAGAGAAGCAAGTTGCTAATATTTACTAAGGTGGGGGCAGGTTTGGGGGGGCTGAGGTGAGCTCAGCTTAGCTGCAGGCAGCCGCAGGACACTTGGGGCAAGGAGAGCATCCTGAGCCGGCTGGCGCTTTCTGGCAGGAACTCCCTCCAGAGCCTCTGGGGGTTCTCCCGGGCCCTTCTCCCCCTTTCCTTGTCCTTCCCTCGCCCACAAACCCCCGCCATTCTCGTCTTCCTTTCCTAAARTTCTCCATTTTATTTTCTATAAGAATTCTTTGCTGATCTTGGGGTTTCCAAGAAGCATGTGGTGTCTTCAGATTTCTCTAACCCTGACACTCATGCCATCCACTGTCACTCTGCAGTCCCTTTAATGAATCAAGTGCGTCTGCTACGCTAGGCACATGCTGTGAGAGTGTGGCCTGGAGGGTTAATCCCCACTGAAATTCTGGAGGAGGCAGAATATGAAACTAAAATCAAAGCAACTTTCTAAACAAGTCCACAGCCCCTTACAGAACTCTGACCTGAACACTGGGAAATCTTAAAACAAATTGATAGACTCATCTGATGACAAAGCCTGACCTGAACTGATATGACTCCACTTATGATCCTTCTCCACTCCGTTTCATGCAAATAGTCCTACAATTTAGGGCAGAAATCTGGATGTGTCCTCATGGGAGTGCAGAGGACCCTGCAACTTGGACGCTGATGGGGAATGGTGCTGACGACTCTTCCAATTGCTGAGGGTCCCAAGAAGTGAGATGGTCTCTCTGGGAACTTCCCTTTGCTTTTTAAAAAGTTTCATAATTTACAAATAAGTAGGTGGGCATGGGGTGCATTATATAAAGAAACTGTCACCCTTCAGTTAATTAAAAACTAACATATAAGATGTGGTTCCGACCAGTCCTAGAATTTTATGAGCAAAAGAAACACTACTCATATAAAAAACTCACAAGTATACTCAGATTTTTTTACTCAATTACAATATTAATTAAGTTTAAATTAATTAAATATTACTATTAATTTTAACTCTGATATGAAACTCAAAATCAGATCTAAGGAATGAGACCCAGAGAAACCATTCCCCAGTGTGGTATTTCTGGTGCACAGATCCATCCTATTAGCACTTGGGTAATAAACACCATCAAGAGATGAAAAACAGCACTACCAATACTTTTAAAGGTAACACGTGCCCTTTGCCCAGAAAGCCACCTTCACTGAATATCCTGTTACTTGAGGTAATTGATGACTCTGTCCCTCTCCTCTCAGGCTCAGTGGTTTGTAGAGGCACATCTCAAGGGTGAAATGATTCGGTAAGGCTCATGCTGCAGGGGCAGACTATTTCTGAATCTGTTCCCGGCCCCAAACAGTGGAGCTATACAGGATCAAGTAACAGTGGTAGCTTTTCCATCATTAACCCCCACCAAAGTGTGGCCCAGCCTGTGGATGAAGGAGCCCTAGTGACAGAGGAAATTAAATTCCTCTCCTAGGGGCTCTCACCCGACAACTCTTGCTTCTCAGTGAGCAGAATAGGTGAGCGGCCATTTCCAGGGTTATTTTCAGGTCAATGCAAGTCTTTGACTGGGACAAACAGGAGGTAGTCACATCCAGAAGGACAGGGTAAGAATCTTCATATAATAATATACATACACACACACATATCTGTCTAAACTTTCACACCGCTTCAGAGCATGAAACAAAAAGAGAAGAACATCTGGACAGTACAGACAGGCAAAACTAAAAAGAAGTTCCTATTGAGGTTTCGMGTCATGATTATTGGCCTGAAAGTGTGTTTAATTCACCTTCACTTCTAACATTTTATTTGACACACAATCCCTGTACATATGTAGGAGGAACGCGCAGAAGGGGCAGCAGCAGCAGCACTTTGTGGGCAAGTTCCCTGAAACTGATCATGAACCTCCAGCAAAACCTTGATTAACTTTGGATCTTCAGAGCGAATCCGATTGGGAGGGGGAACCTCACTAAATCCTGCGCTGACAGTTCACCCCAACGCAAAGCAAGAAAATAGTGGGGGAGGGTACCAAAAACATCCCAAATAGGAATGAGGTCCCGGGGACCGGCAGAAGCCCCGGGCTCGTGCTCGGGACGGACCAAACTCTGCCCGGTCCCTTCTCCGTTCCTGCAGAGCGAGGTTAAAATAAGAAAGCGAACCTCCGCCTCCCGCCCAAGTGGCMGGACAGCTGGGGCCCGGGGCCCCTGAACGAGCCGGGCGACAGGCAGCAGGCGCCGCGGCTCCTCCCGGGCAGCGCCGGAGAGGAACGAGCGCGGCGCGGGGTGCGGGCGAGGGTGGGTCTCACCACCGACGCTCGCACCGCGCCGCGCGGCCGGGAAGGCGCGCCAGCACTCGGCTCCTGCGCTAACTATGAAGACTCAAAAAAAAAAAAAAAAATCCACTTCGGGGATCGGCGAACTTTTTCCGCTTCCCTGTAGGTCCTCATAGGGGAGCCGCGGGTGTGCGCGGAGACTCGGTGGGAGGCGTGGGAAGCACCGGCGGGGACCCGCACACGCAGGGCTGGGGTCTCACCGCGAGCAGGGCAGGAGGGGCCCTCCCAGCGCCAGCACGCCGACTTTTCTGCGCAAAGTGCGAGAAGGGGGTTCCAGGGCTGCCCCGAAATCAGTATGTCTCGGGGGTCCAAGGGAAAGGGGTCCCGGGACACTTCAAATCCAGGAACTGGGGCAAAAACGAAAACGGCGCCTTCCAGGACCCCCAGTTCGGGGAGTGTGAGACTGAAAGAGAGAGGGGCCCCAAGGGGTGCCCCGATTTCAGAACTTTTGGGAGTAAACGGCAGAGGACTCCCCGATCGCCCCCAGTTTGCGAGGCCTGGGAGGGAAGCGTCCCGGGTCAGTTGCCCGCGGACCCGCTCCCGGCTCTGGGTGCGGGCAGAAGAGTGACGGGTCCTCGGCCCCTAATGGGGAGCCCAAAGCTGGCCGAGGGTCCCCGGGYGGCCGCACCCCAGGAAGTTTTGTAAAAAGTGAGGCGACGGGTTCCCACCTCGCCGAGACTGCTACAAAGACGGAGGGGGCGTCGCTAGGGACCCCCAAACTCAGCGGCGCGCGGGGCCCGGGGCGCGGAGGCGGGTCCCGGGTGCGCCGTCCCGGGCGCTCGGGGTGCTCGGCGGGGTGCTCTCCCCGATCCCCGGCCCCCCGGGCGGGGTCCCCGCCGCTCCCCGCACTTCCCGGACGGTCGCATCGGTCACCTGGAGTTCGGGCCGGGAGTTCGGGCAGCGGCTCCCGCGGCGGCGGCGGCGGCTGCTGCGTGTTGGTCCCCGTTGGTAAGTAACAGTCTCCACGGCTACAGTCTCTATGGCGGCGGCGGTGGCGGCGGCGGCCGCTCCTCCTCCGGCTCCCGCCGCCCGCCCGCCGGGCTGCCTCGCGCCGCCCGCCCGCCGGCCGCGACGGGGCGGGGCGTTGTTACCGGCAACGGTTACCAGGCTCCACGCCCCACCCCCTCAACGGACCGCCCACGCCCGCCTCCAACGGGCAAGGGGCGGAGCGCGAGGCCCTGCGGAGTCCTATTGGAGGCATGAAGTGCCTATCGCGGGGGGCGTTCCCCATCGAGAAAGAGGGCGAGGCCGGGCCAATAGCCACGAAGCAGGGCGGGGCCTGGCGGGAGGCGCGCGCGGCTGGGAGGGTGGGCGAAGGGGAGGCTCGCGCGGGCCGGGTTGGTGGCCCGTCCYGGCGGAAAGTCGGTGTTTCCCGGCACACGGGGCTGTGGTTTATGCACAGGCGGAATGTCCCCATGTAGGCACAGCTTGGCCTGGGGTCAGCAAACTTTGGCTCGCTGTTTTTTATGGCTCATAAGTTGTGAATTTAAAGAGATGTTTTAACATGGTTTAAAAACAAATCAATGGAATTTGTGGTGGCGTGTGAAAACTATAGAAGGCTGTATTTTATTTTTATCGAATCCAGAATTTTCAATTAGTTTAAGTGTTAGGTAGCCAGGCGAGCAAGGAGGGACAATGGAGSGCGGCTGGAAGCCACAGGGAGGCTTATCTGACAAGCAAGCCCTGGGAGGCTGGGGACTTGGTCTGATCAAACCTCCCCAGCTCTTTACACCCCCTTAAGACTATTGTTCCAAGATCCTATCACACTCCACCAGGTGGCCTGGACCCTCCCTTGTCACCTCAACTGTCACAACCCCCAATCACCCTGGCAACCAAAATATCAAGAGTGTCACAAACAGAGCTTGCTGAGGGCTGTTCAGAGGGTAATAAACCATTAAGGGGGCAGGAATTTCCTTAAAGACTCCAACTCCTGAGCCTCAGCCAGCTTCCCCTGGAGGCCGTCCTTGCCGTTCCTATGATGTCAGTCAAAGATGGGCCTGGGAGGATTCCCTGGAAACTTCTCTGGCACCCCCACCCCACCCCCTAAAACTGAGAGGACCCATGCTCTCCTTTGAATGTCCCCCATTCCTTCTAAAAAAAACTCATGCTTGTTACTCTGAGCAGGTGTCTGAACTCATCTGGTCCGATTGCAAGAATCGGGGTGTAGAGGGGGGCGTCTGGCTGCCTGAATTTTGTGGCAGGCCTCTGTAACATGAAGATGGGCAAACTGTAGCCTCAGGTCACGCTGGGTCTGCTTCTGTTTATAAATAAAGTTTTATTGGAACACAGCCCTGTGCATTCCTTTGCGCAATGTGGAGAAATCCTTGGATACCGTAGGGGCAGAGCAGTGGATTATTGGGAGGTTGGACAAAGACCACAGGGCATAAGCGCAGCCTAGACTACTTCCTGTCTGGCCCTTCAGTGCCTTCCTCAAGGCAGTAGGTTCAGCTGTGAACACGACAATGGGACCCTCATGGGGTTTTTATTTCGGGGGTGGGGGGCATTGACAATACACAGAATAAATAAAGAAACAGGTACAGGATTTTAGGAGAAGGAGCTGGAACTCTGGGAGAAAAAGGCAGGCTCTGGGAAGAGGCAGTCAGGGAAGTTCAGGGAATCATCAGGCCTCGGACACAGCCATTCAGAGGGTCGGATCAGTATCAGCCAAGCTGTTTCCACGAGCCAGAGGATGATATAAGCCTTCTTCATACGCTACCTCGTTAAATTCTACACTCACATCCCGAGAAAAGCCCTGGGTATTATCCCCACTTCACAGATCGACAATCTGAGGCCCAGGAAAAAGTGAGAAAATTTGCCCAATGTCAAACAATTTGTAAAGGATTCAAACCCCGCATCTTAGCACCAAATTCCACGCTTCTTTTGTTCAGTGGGCTTTGTTTGTTTCTTTGCCAGTGCTGGGGATCTAACCTGGGGTCTTTCACATGCAAGGCAAGGGCTTTACCCGGAGCCACATTCCCAGACCCTGAGCACCACTCTTGACCACTAGAAGGGAGGCTTGGCTGCACTACACAGCAGCAAAGAGGGTCCACTCAGAGACCAGCCACACAGGCGCATCTGCACCTGAAACAAGTGCTCCCTGCAGACAAAAGTGCACGTAGGAAAAGACAAACTTTGTGTTCTGCTCCAGCTGTACCCTGTCGGTCCTCTCTGTGGACCGAGATGTGGTTTGGAGTTGGTTTGAGTGTATTCCCCAAGGATTCACACGCGGGAGGCTAGGCCCTGAGTGTGATGATGCTGGAAAGTGGCAGAACCTTTAAAAAGTGGGCTTCTTAGGTCACTGAGGTGCTGCCCTTGAAAGAGATTGATGCTGGTCTCAGAGTGAAGCAGGTGTTCTTAGAAGAGGAAGACTGACTCCTGCATCTTTCTGTCTGGATTCTTCCATTGCCATGTAATCTCTCTCTCTCTCCCACATGTGCTCCTGTCACAATGCCATCTGCCATTATGCCATCCACCCTCATGATGCAGCCAAGGGGAACCGTCACCAGAGGCTGAACAAATAAATGGAGCACACTGATCTTGGACTTTCAGCTTCCACAACTGTGAGCTAAATAAACCTCTTTTGTTTATAAGTTACCCAGCCTTGGGTATTTTGTAATAGCAACTGAAAGTGAACTAAGACACTAATGTACTCTGATAGTTTCTTTTCTATTTCATTTTAATTAAAAGTTACTAGTGGTTTGCTAACTTGATTTTCCCATCTTATAATGGTGGCTTCTTGCAGATTTTCATGTGAGTGAGTCTTAAACTTAAGCAGACCTCAGTAATTAGTTCCTTTCACTCAATCATTAATTCTGGCAAAAACCACGAATTGTCTACTAATTGTAGGTTCTAAAGACACTGCTGTAAATAAAGTACTATTTTTTTTATTCACGTGCTTATAGGAAAGGTGAGATAATGATCTGGGGATGCTGAGTGGGTGCAGCTTATCCTAGACAGAGCAGCCAAGGATGACCTCTCTMGGGAGATCAACCATCTTATTTGGCCTGAAAATGAGGGGTTTTCCAGGACATGGGCCTTTCAGCTCTAAAACTGGGAAATCCCCAGGCAAAGTGGGAAGAGTCTGTCCCCCTGGGCCTCCCTGAAGAGGTGACATTTGAACCACAGCAGTGATAATGATGAACGAGAGAAGACAATTTTGAATTCAAAATCCCTGGGGCAGAAACTCGTGTGGAGGGACCGGGAGCAGGTCCTTGGAGGTGTAGACCGGAGTGAGAGGAGGAGGGTTGTGAGCGGGCAGCGCGGCGAGCCGGGGAGGTGGCAGGAGGCTCAGGCCGTGGGCAGGAGGCCCCGTCGGTCTGGAAGCCAGTGTTTTAGGTTTCATTTCCAGGGGGAAATGGCATCTGGTGGGGATTTTAAAAGCTCAGTCGGAGCACCGCTTGGGAGGGTGGGCTCTGATAGTTTCTTTCCTATTTCATTTTAATTAAAATGCTCTGAGTGGTTTGCTAACTCGATTTCCCCATCTTCCAGGAGAGTTGAAGTGACAGAGACGGATGGATCTCCTGGCAGTGGGGGTGGACGTGGTGAGTGGACTGGGGATACATGTTGGAGAACATTGTCATGGAGCAGATGTGGGGGACGGGGATAAGGTTTTATGGTGGGGCAGGGGTAGCTGCTTGGGACAGCCAGTGTACGAGATCACATGTTTGTCCCCATGTGATGGATATAGTCTGCTGGCCCTTGTCCTCTGAGGGTTCCACATTCAGGGATTTGACCAGCTACCAGGAAAAAATGTTTGAGGGGAAAGATTCCAGAATGTTCCCCAGAGCTTGAATTTTCCATGCACTGAGCTCTACTCGGGGTCCAAGTCTAAGAAGCGAAGTGTGGGCAGAACCGCGGCAGCCCCCCACCACTCACGGGTGCCTGGTCTCCCTCTGGCGCTCAGCATYGGAGCATCCTGCCCATAGTGTCCTTGTGTCACCCACGCGGGCCTCTGAGGGTGACACCTGTACTGAGCAGGTATAGACTTTATTTTTTGTCATTTTTCATCAACGCCACATAACAGCAATGCACATGGCATTGGAACTGTATAAGGTCTGATTGCGAGTCTATAGCCCGACGGGTGTGCCAGGCCAGCACTGTGCCCTTTAATATAAGGAACTCGASCACCAGTGGATGGGGCAGCCATAGATGGATACTCGGGGCGACGGTCATSGGAAACAATCCGACTACAACGTGAATTCTGCCTTTGCAGTTTCTTCTGTGGGAAACACTGGGCGAATACAGAAATTGCCTCTTTCTAAACCAAGCCACATAGGAAGGCCCAGAGCACCCGCGAGCTCACACTCAACACTTCCCAGCCGCCTGGAGCCCCATGTCACCCCCATGTAATGTGCCCCAACTGATCTTCAGCCCTCCAGAAGCACAGCTTTGAGGCACTTCTTAACCACTTAAAATGGGCAAAACCCACCGTCTTCAAGGCAAAATCATGRGATAAATTAGAAAACGCTTTGAAATGAACGAAACGAAACCCAACATGCCAAGACTGATGGGATGCAGCTCCTGAGGAGGAGACTTTTCAGTTGTAAAAACCCAACTTAGTAAAGCAAGGTCTGAAGTCAATTTCCAGCTTAAGACAATGGAAAAAGAAGAGTGAACTAGACCCAAGTTAGCAGCATGAGGAAATGATCAAGAAAGTGGTAGAGATGAGTGGAAGACAAGGTAGAAAGCACATAGACAACCGCACCGTGAGTTGGTTCCTTCAAAAGATCAACAAAATTGACATTTAATTCGACTGACYGACAAAAGAAACGAGAGAAGGTGCAAATTGCTAACATAAGGAAGGAAAGAGAGGACAGTACTACCAAAGAAAAATTACAGACCAAAACTCTGTATTACAGAAATAAAAAGGACGATAGATGAATCATTGTCCGCCAGCAAATTAGATATCCCAAGTGACACCTAGTAACCAATAAGTCACATAAATGAAACGAACAAATTCCTAGAAAGATACAAAGTGCCAAAAATGACAAAAGAAGAAGTAAAGGATCTGAACGGATCTATAGCAAGCAAAGAAACAGGTCGGTGATTTTTAAAAACCCTCCCACAAAAAGCCCAGGACCAGATGGCTTCACGGGCAAATTCTACAAATGTTTAAAGAATTGGCACCAAACTGCTCACACGCTAGAC